CGGCAGAGGTGTACATGTTGAAACATCCCACTCATGCGCTTCTCTCAAAAGGCAAATCAGAGAGCTCTCTTTCCCCATGGATTGTCGGGTTCTCTTAGCTTGTTCTGGCGACCATTGTGCACACGTGTGGGTTCGTGAGGTTTATAAATTAAGTCTACACGATATTGACTACCTAGGTATCCCGGCTTTGAGATACAAATTTCATAGAGTCAAAACATCAGTCTAATCTGCTATTTTCAACTGCTATTGCTAAAGCTGCCTTTGCTATTCTTAATAGGTAAAACTGAGAGATATGCAAGATCTGCCGAGGTGTCAAGGCGCAGCGCAAAAGCTTGGACATCGCAAAAATGACATGATGAAGTAGTTCCTGGTAAAGACATTTAGACGGAATATCCAAAGATATCGGTCTTCAGCGAAAAGTTGAGCTTGCGATTTAATGTCAAGGCTGAAATAACACCTCCAACGAGATGAGCGACAGCCCACACCTTACAGGTGAGTAGACGCCTACTGCATTTTATCAACCTGACGATAGAAAGATGATGAAGCGGCCTGCGAAGACCTAATATTGGGTATTTTTCTGAAATTAAACTTTGCGCTTGAGATGATCGAGTCATGATCCCAATTAAGGCTCAGGATGACCGTTGAGTCAATCCCCTAGCATTTACTTTCAGTATATCACGTTGAAAGTTTAGAAGATAGTCTTAGCAGGCCATGCCATGCTAAAGCTGTGCTCTCTTGAAGTAGCTGCAGGCAGATGCAGGACCTGTGAATGTCTAACGCAAATTTACAAGCGATTCGAGGGGCACATTCGGCCAAGTAGCCTAGCGGCAAGATCAGTAACAAGTCTTCAGTTGATGATTATAGACAAACACATGCGCAATCTTTGAATGAAAACTATCTATATCGACGAGAGTGCCGTACGCCAATGACTTACCTATATTTCATCGAGACCCAAGCGTGGCCCAAGCTCCTGGAGTAGCAAGTGCCTAAGGCTTCAAGAAAGTACAGACTCCTCTGATTGGCCGGCTTAGGACAAGGCCCACTTCACACGTCCAGCCAAAAATCAGTCTGTCTGTCTTCAGAACGACCATCACCACCATCCCGCCCATCATCTCTACCTTATCACCCGTACTACTTAATCAACACTCTCACCTTTATTCAACCGAGGCCCAGCACCTGCCGCCCAGGTGTTTGGATCTCCTGCTGGTTTTGCCCTTCTCCCCTCTCTCTGAGGCTATCAGCAACCTGAATCGCGCACTCCCCGAGCTTCGGTCAGAGTCCTACCTCTCCTCATCCTCCCTCCGCCTCGGCTGTGATCCACATCCCTCCTCTTCCAACCTCCCGCCTTGTAATATTCAATCTTTCCCACTGTGGACTCAATCACCGCGATCGCATACCGCTCTTCCCCCGGTCCATGTCGACGACTTGCGAAGACCCTCCCACTGTCGCAACCACCTTCCCATTACCAGGAAATTAGAGGAAGTTGCTCTGTCCCATCCAGGATAGCAGCACCGACTTCCCCCTTCTCCTCCACCGCCTACCTCCATGGTCCCACGATCTTCGGGAACATTTTCTCCAAATCCTGCGCAGTCTCTGCAGACGGGAATCAGCCATTCTCCCCATCCGTCGCAAGCTGGTGGCCTGAGTGCGGGTGCCAGCCCCAGTACCAGCAGCCCCACTGGGACCAGTTCCCTATCCAAGATCACCATCGCCCAGGTCTATCTTCTCCTGAGCACTATCAAGGAGAAGAAAGACGATCCTGCCGACTGGGAGAATAAGGTCAATCGACTTAACAAGGTAAGCACGCGTCCTGGCTTCCAGAGCCTCGCCCCTTGCCTCGTGCCTTTTGCTGACCTGTATCCCCCTGCCACAGCTTATCGATGACAACGGCATGGAAGTCTTCACAAAATACTTCGCCCGTCTGGTACACAGCAATGCGGCTCAGATTTTCCCCGGCCTGACCCGGCCTGGGGGAAACACTGCGAATCCAGGCAACTATCCGATCCTTGTCAGTGAAATGCGAAAGATATCTCATGATATCGAGCAGGCCGAAAAGATTGCAGAATCCATTGCAACAGGCACAGAGGACATTTTCCGAGACTTTGACCTCTCTACGTTTATGGAACATTTCAAACTAGATGCCCTCGAAAAAACAATATTGGCAGTGGCCTTTAAGCTAGGGAACCGATCTGATTTGAAGACGAAAGGTATATATAATCTCCTCTACAGATCAGATTGAGTAACTAATCCCCGTGTTTTAGCTGACGCGATCCTTTCCACAAACTTTCCAACATTCATCAGCATCGCCTCTAGGATAGATGGTGAACATTCAGATCTGAGCCCTCAGTTCCTCTCGCTGATCATTGATCGCCTCATTCAATACCACCCTCCTAACTTCAACGCTGCGTCAAAGCGTGAACTATCATCTAAAGTTACTACCCGTTACACATCCATGGACCTGGCACCTCCATCAGAGGTCCTCGCAGCATTGGATTTGATGCGTGTTTTGGGCGAAAAGCCGCCGAACGCCCTCGTTCTATACATACAAAGAATTGGCGCCGACTTCACTCGCGATGAAGAAACCTGCATAGGCTATCTCCAAGCACGGCCGTCTAATATTCAACTGAGTGAGGAGCAAGTCTCGAATGCTTTGACATACACCACCATCAGTCAGAGCCCTCGACACAATCCTGCGGTCCTTGTTGCTGGGCTACGACGTGTGGCCCCGTCAATATTCAGATGGCAGGATGTGGTATCATATTTTGATCAGAGTAATGCGAGGATATCCCCTCCCCAGTTTCTCCGACTATACAATGCCCTGCTGCCTATTGCTCAAGACGATAATGGCGCCACATTCGATATTCAGCACCTTTGGGGAGGTAACTGGGAGAACCCCGAGGCACAACTATCTTTTATATGTGCTTTCGCTTCCCTTTCTCCAGAGCAGCTAGATGCTAGCACCATTCCAGGACTTCAGCCGACCTTCACTTTGGACGCTTACGTGCAATCATCAGGTCCCGTTCGAGAACGAGCATCAACAGCTGTCAAGCATCCTCTTGTTTCGGTAGCTGCCTTGTCAGCAGTATTCCACGTTGCACTACATTCAGTACTCGCCTCGCAAACTGTAGAAGCGAAGCGCTTGTTCCAGGAAGTCGTAGTGCCTAACCTTGATATCTTCGTGGTGTCCGCGTTCGGGGTGCCTAAGCCATGGCCACAAATGGCAGTCGAGACTCTAAACTCTCTCTTTGAGAATTTTCTTTACAAGCGGTCACCCGAGTACGACTTTGTACTGGACAGCCTCTGGCGGAAGGACAAGGATTGGGTGAAGCAGAGGCTTGTCGATGCTCACGCGATGAAACCAATCGACCTGCCTCTTATATTCGAGCATGCGGTCAAGCACAACTGGCTGGATGAACTCGTGTATATGGTCAACGGCTTTGGATTGGATCTCACCGCATTTGCACATGCCGAAGGCTTTCTCGACCTGGACCAGTGGGCCCGAAACAACGCGGATCGAAGCACGGAGATTGCACGTTCACTACTACAATTTCTCCTAGTAAAAGCGAATCTGGAGATGCAGTACCAACGGCCTCCGGATGGCCAACCTGTGAAGACCACTACAACTCTACAAGTTAAAACGGTGTCTCACCTCTTGGCGATCTTGGAGGAGTATCTACCCAAGACCCCCGTTCCGGAGCTGATTGTGGTCCAACGATCCTGCATTACCGTATATCCCCGACTGATCAACTACGGGGAGGGATACGATGATATCATTGACGCGAACGGCAAAGATGGAAATGCCTTGCCCTTGGCTGCCAACAATAAGATGGAGGAGCACTACAAGAAGATGTATGGTGACGAGGTTCAAGTTCGGAACATAGTTGATGTCCTCGAGCGGTACAAGCACTCAAGAGATCCACTGGAGCAAGACATATTTGCCTGCATGATTCATGGGCTTTTCGATGAGTACACTCACTACGTTGACTATCCTCTGGAAGCACTAGCCACCACAGCTGTCCTTTTCGGCGGAATCATCTCACACAAGCTTATATCCGACCTTCCTCTACAGATCGGTCTTGGCATGATTCTTGAAGCCGTCAGAGACCACGTACCGGATGATTCTATGTACAAATTTGGTCTGCAGGCACTAATGCAACTCTTCGGCCGTGTCCGCGAGTGGCCTGGTTTCTGCGAACAGCTTCTTCAAATACCTGGTCTCCAAGGAACGGAAGCCTGGCGTAAGGCAGAAGAAGTCGTGAGAGATCACGAAGAAGAGATGGTCCGGACTAGGAATGGCAACGCAGGCCCAGGGCATGGCGCCTTGGGCAACGAGTCCCTGACAAATGGTAATGCTGACGATGCCCTGGGTCCTACTGATCACCACTTACCGCCGTTTACTGCTATCAACATTGATCCGCCTCCCGCTGGAGTAAATTACGAAGATCCAGTCGGCGACGACCAAGGCAAGATACAGTTT